ACCAGAGTACCGGATGTCGAAGGCCATGCGCCGTCTCTGCTTGATCTTCTCCTGACCACGTGCCCAGATAACTACCAGGTGTGCGTCGACGCCCCCCTGGGTTCTTCTGACCACTGTCTGGTACGTTCGAAGGTGTCCATATCCACCTACTGCCGCCCAAGTGGGACGCGGCGAGTATGGCACTATAAATCAGCTGATTGGGATGGTTTGCGCGAATTTTTCGCATCCTACCCATGGAAGCGCATCTGCCTTTCATCGGATGATCCCTCGTATTGCGCGGATACCGTTGCGGATACGATTTTACAGGGAATGGAATGCTTCATTCCCAGTTCTACCGTCCGTATCGGCGGTCAATCGCAACCTTGGTACGATGCATCCTGTGCTAGAGCTTCTAGCGAGAAGCAGGAATCCTATCGAGCCTGGGTTGCTGCCCGCATAGCGAAGGATCCTAACGTCACCGATCTCAAAAAGAAATTTAATGCTGCTTCTAGATCGTGCAAGACACTAATGGCCAGGGCAAGAGACGATCATATTCGCAGCATTGGCAAGAGACTTCTAAGCCTTCCATCTGGATCGCGTGCTTTTTGGGCTCTCGCCAAAGCTGCGGAAGGAAATTTCTGTCGACCATCCATACCAACTCTGTGCAAACCGGATAGCACGCTGGCACATTCTGCAAAAGACAAAGCAGATCTCCTGTGCTCTTTTTTTGCCTCAAATTCTACTCTTGACGACGGGGGATTATCGCCGCCTACCATCTCGCAGTGTGATAGCATGATGCCCGAAGTACGCTTCACGCAACGTGAAGTGCGTCGAGCACTTATCTCCCTAGACGTCAAGAAGTCCAGCGGGCCTGATGGTATTCCGGCCATTGTACTTAAAACGTGTGCCCCAGAGTTGACACCGGTCTTAACCCGCCTGTTCTCTCAACTCTACGCCGTTAGCCAAGTCCCGTCTTCTTGGAAGGTTGCCATTGTTCACCCTATTCCCAAAAAGGGTGACCGCACAGACCCGTCCAATTACCGGCCCATTGCGATAACCTCTATACTCTCTAAGGTGATGGAGCGCGTGATTAATACTAGGCTCCTAGCATACCTAGAAGAGAACCAGCTCATTAACGACCGACAATACGGATTTCGACAGGGTCGTAGTACTGGTGATCTTCTAGCGTATCTAACTCACCGTTGGGCAGCTGCCATTGAGAGTAAGGGGGAGGCGTTAGCACTTAGCCTTGATATCGCAAAGGCCTTCGATCGGGTCTGGCATAAGGCACTTCTATCGAAGCTGCCATCATATGGACTTCCCGAGAGATTATGCCAATGGGTCGCTAGCTTTCTTTCTGGACGTAGCATAAAAGTTGTCATTGACGGTATATGCTCCGACACTGTTCAGATTAACGCTGGCGTACCCCAAGGCTCAGTGCTATCGCCTACACTGTTTATTCTGCATATCAATGATATGTTGTTAACTAACAACGCTCATTGCTATGCAGATGACAGTACAGTCGATGCCTATTATACTGGCCGAGCTAGCATCTCTCGGGCTAAGGTTGAGGAGAATAGAGTCCAACTTGTGTCTGAAATCGAGACTTCCCTAGAGCAGATCTCCGATTGGGGCCGACGAAATCTCGTCCAGTTTAACCCCTCAAAGACACAAGTTTGTGCGTTTCTCCACAAAAAAAACCCCATTTACTATAGCGCCAAAGTTCCAGAACACTTCTCTTAACATCTGTAAGAGTATCGGGATCCTAGGGGTCGAAATATCGAGCGACGTCCAATTTAGATGTCATCTGGAAGAAAAAGCCAAATTGGCTTCCAAAAAAATGGGTGTCCTTAACAGAGCGAAACAGTATTTCACGTCAGGGCAGCGACTTTTGCTTTATAAAGCACAGGTTCGCCCTCTCATGGAGTACTGTTCTCATCTCTGGGCCGGCGCCCCCCAATACCAGCTTCTTCCATTTGACTCTATCCAACGCCGGGCAGTTCGTATTGTCAACGATCCCATACTCACAGACGACTTAGACACTCTAAGCCTTCGGAGAGATGTTGGCTCTCTGTGTGTTCTCTATCGTCTATACAATGGAGAGTGTTCTGATGAACTTTTTGACATGGTGCCACCGTCGCGCTTCTATCATCGCAGCCTTCGCCGTCGGGTAGGATGTCATCCACACATTTTAGATGCTTGGCATTCTACAAATGTACGTGCGTCTCGATCTTTTTTACCTCGCACGTGCAAGATGTGGAATGATCTTCCTCCCGAGGTATTCCCTGAGCGCTATAATATGGGGCTCTTCAAGAGTAATGTCTATAGGTCCCTTAAAGGCCGGCAACGCATTCGCAACTCCTCTTGTGTTGCAGATGTCCATGAGCGACGATAGCCACTTACCATCAGGTGGATCGTTTGCTCGTTTGCCCCTTTTTTCTATAAAAAAAAAAAAAAAAAAAAAAAAACTTAACACACATATTTTATTATACACCTTTATTTCTAAAATTCTTCCTTCAGCTGATCTAACTTCTAGGTACAATACATTACACAGGTAAGTTACGAACACTGAACAAAGTAGAAGCAAATAACAAAAAAATAAAAACCGACTTCAAACAAAAGCACTAAAAAGTAAAAAAATAACTGATTGGTAGTTTTCATTTACTATACATACCTAATCAAATATTTTCGAAGTCGGTGTGCTTTGGCTAAGTAATTAAAGCCTACTTATTAAATACACATACCTAATCAAATATTTTCGAAATCGGTGCCAGTCCATACAAAGCAAAGCACACCGACTTCGAAAATATTTGATTAGGTATGTATAGTAAATGAAACCTGCCAATCAGTTATTTTTTACGTTTTAGTGCTTTTGTTTGAAGTCGGTTTTCATTTTTTTGTTAAAAAGTTTTTATTTTTCCCTTTTTAGTGTAGACAGTAGTAGCAAAGTAAGAATTCTAACGTGTTAGGCTTGTCAAATCAAACAAAATAACCCGAAACTCAAAGTATCTACTATTAACCGTTGAAAAGTTCCACCTATCTACCTTCTGGCCTTACCATCAGATCAGGTCAACAATACCGAACCACTGTACTATCAACGGAAATAGAAACACTTGCAGTTTCAAGTCAATATGACAATTAGAAGTAGGTTAAATTCATCATTACCTATTTTTCCACCCTCAGGGGTGGTATTTGTTTTTAAATTTAAATGGGGCCAATCTGGAAGTATACACTTTCAAACAACACAAAAATGGTCCAAATCGGCTAATAAATGACGGAGTTCTGAGGTAACAAACATTAAAAAAATATACAGTCGAATTGAGAACCTCCTCCTTTTTGAAGTCGGTTGAAAAGCAGGTACAAAAGAGATATATGAGATATATACACAATAAATTGCTGAACCTCAGACTGAATGTAAATAGGTCATACGTGTGGGGCCCTCTTTTGTGCACAGTTTCGAATTGTAAGCTATTTTCAAGGATGCGTTAGTTCTTCGTTCTGTGTACTTTTGTGAACATCTTGAGTTTTTGTGTATTTCAATAACTAAAGAGATTTTAAGGCTAACGAACTAATCTGATGGATAATTAGACTCATGTGTTCTAGGATTTACGTATGTAACTACACGTAATATTTCTCTATAGTCTGCGGTGTGGCGTTTACTCCACCATTACCAGTGAAGTGATATGCAGCGTTGCCAATTTGTGGGGAGTTCCCCAAACTGTGGGGAATCTCAAGTCGATTGGGGATTGGCATTATGCGGGGAAAATGCGGGGATTGTGAATATCGATAGTCCGACCGGGTCCGAAAACTTAAACCTTAAATTACTAACAAAAATCGGACATAGATTCCACGTCTGAACCGATTTAGCTTTTAATCTAAACAATACTAAGTGTTAAAACTACGCAAATTTTCTAAGTCCAAATTTCTTCACTAGTAATAATTAATAACTTAAATCACTCGTATATACTCGTAATAATAATTTTGGAGTTATATTTATTGTTTTTTTCTGACAATTTAGATTTTAAGTAAATAAAAGAAAAAAAATGGAACTCAATCATAGTCTAATCATGTTTATTCATTCTTCAAAAATATAATTAAAAAAAAAACTTGTTGATATTTACAAAATGTAACCACAGTTTTGTTAAAGAATCGTAAAAAAAAATTTAAAATAAAAAAATTAAACTATGATAAATCCTTGTAGAAAATTTATTCAAATTCTTAAAACCACCCTTCAATCTACTGTGCATCCATTAAATGAATGATATATTTTTTTAAATTAAAATCGATCAAAAAATAATAAAATATCAATAAATTCGAAGAAATAATAACATAAATAGATTCTACGGGAAAAAGTGCAAAAAAATAATAGTTTATTTTACGTAACGTCCACTATCTTTTATTTCTTAACGACTCGTAAAATTGCAAAGTTGGAATGTTCACAGCGACATCGTATAAATAATAAGCGTCAAATTAAAAACAACAAGTTTTTTTTTCGTTTTTTCCCGCAAAATACGAATACATTGGTGTAATTAGTTTAAAAAAAATGTAGTTTACAATATACAAATTATCGATTTCTCCTTTTTTTCAAGTTTAAGGGTGTTTTTACAGGACAACCATACAATGGTTTTTTCTTCAAAAAATAGTCACTTGAAGTTGGGGGTTTTTCAGCCTCCCGAGACCATGAAACAAAAATTTCTCAGTAAAGTATTTCAATTAAAAAAAATGCTTATTATATGTATTTCGAAGATTACATTGCCCCTAGTTTCATAAAAATTAAAAGATTAATGCAGAAATAAAAAATAAAAAATCAAGAATAAATTGAAAACACAGTTTTTTGCAAATATCTCGAAAAGTTTGAGGTTATTGTAAAAAGTGTCATTAATTATAAAAGTTATACATTTTTACTAGACCTACAACTTGTAAAAAACATTTTTCGAAAGTACGTCAAAATAAGCCGGAAATTGAAATACTATTTTTTAACGCTTTGTATCCCCAAATTTCTCGGGAGTAAAAACTTAAAAATGCAGGTTTTAATTTGTTTTTTTTCCAAACCAGATTCCGATTGGACTATATTAATTTTATTTAGTTATTATATTTCAACCATAAAGAAAAATCCGAAATGATAATTTTAACTTTTATTTAAAATTACCTAAATATATAAAAGATAAAATAGTTGATACTTGTTCTTTTTTAATTATTTTGAGGGGAATTTGTGGGGAATCAGTATATTTTTGCCCTCAAATTGGGGAATTTGAGCTAGATTTTCGGGGAATTTGATAAATTGTTATTGGCAACGCTGGTTGAACAGTCATACGATTTCATTGTGTTAGGAAGACGTCTTTATTCTTCATCGTAAGAAAATTTATACTTCGGTCATCTTTTGAAGTTACTTAGCCAGAAACGTAAGTATTTTATTTACATAAAGTGAATTTAAAATGTGGTACGTAATAAGTACAAATGGTACGATATTACTCGTTATGTTTAATCACTTTTACAATTACTAACCTATAAATGAAATTTTGATTTACACTTGTTGAAAGCTTATAAAGTTATTTTATGCTATATTTCTTTTATCGATACTATGTAATTGTAAAATTATTTGTTCGTATTGCAAATATTACATAAATTTCACATGCTTACGTAATGGTGTCATTATCACGCGTCTTGGCAATTCCCGAATGACATTGATCCATATTTTGTGACCCAATTCTCCAACACATTGTTCGTGGTTTATGTTGAAATAAATATACTTGTTTATTAAACTATCTATGTTAATTTTTGATATACATCGCAGGTTACAAAATCAATATTTCGCGCTATTTCGCACCCAGAGGAAAATTGTACAATATTATGTAATGTATCTTTTTAGTAAATTTAAAACGCACTAATAGTAATAATTGAATTGTGAATTATTTCATTCAAGATTTTCCTAATAGAAAATTAACTTCTTTTAATTTTAGAATGTTTTGTATTATTACAGAAACAAAATGGGTGTTCCTGCAGGAAATGCTGAAAACGGAAAAAAGATCTTTGTGCAAAGATGTGCTCAGTGCCACACTGTATGTATTAATTGAATTTGTTTTTTTTATATCTACTAATTCTGCCCTTTGACCTCTACCTATAATTCTGACTAATTTACATAATATTCATTACCCCTTTATTTCTGAATATTGCATAATACAGGTAAATGTAAATTATATAAAGGAAATGATATACATTGTTAGGAACATGTTATGTTAATTTAATGTAACATAAAATCTATCTAAAGAATATTGACCTACAAAATATGCAAATGATAGCTTTTTTCACTCAAAAATATATTTTCTTAGGTTGAGGCTGGTGGTAAACACAAAGTGGGACCGAATCTTCATGGTTTCTTTGGACGCAAAACTGGCCAAGCTCCTGGCTTCTCTTACTCAGAAGCCAATAAAGCTAAAGGTAATAAAAAAATTGATATGATTTTTTCAGTTAATAATAGTTTCAGCATAAAGTTATTTTTATTATTTAGTGTTGTCCTATATAAAAAAAATAAGCTTAAATATTTTATAACTTAAAAATTTTATAGAGTGAAAATATCATCATAAATCTATCTGTTTGTTAGATTAGATAATATAAGTTTTCTAATAATAATTATACAAGATATTTCTTTATTGATGAAATTGTATGTAACTTTAGAAATTAGAAGTTATAAAAAAATATAAAAAAAAACTTTCATGTTCATTAATTCTTCTTTTAATATTAACAGGTATCACTTGGGGTGAAGACACACTCTTTGTATATTTGGAGAACCCTAAAAAGTATATCCCTGGCACCAAAATGGTGTTTGCTGGTTTGAAGAAAGCAAATGAGCGTGCAGATCTTATTGCTTACCTTAAGGAGGCAACTAAGTAATTTTAATGACCTTAGGAAAAGTAAAATAAAATAAGAAGAATATTCCATTATATGGGAGGTCCTTCTTATTTTTTAGCGCAATCAGTATCACCATTTGATATATTTATTTTGAGTCAACATTTGTGACAGTTATAGTACTCGTTACTCATTTATATCATCTATATAATCTAGAAGATTGTGTGGTTTGAATGTATTTGTAAATTATGTATGACACAAAATTCTTTGCAGAGCATAGTAATGTTGTGAATGTAATGTTATTAAATTATTATTAGACAATATTAATTAGCTTTTTATTTGTGGTTATTGCCCTAACCAATGATGGAAATTCTCACCAATGTTACCAATACATAGTTTTTATTTAATTATAGATTTAATTTAAAAATGGTTTTTTATTCTCATTATGAACCTTTATTTGTATAGTAATTTTTTTAATATTTAATTATTAATCTCCAGTACCTAAGTATGTATATCGTATTGATTTTAATTTCACTGCTTTAATTAATGGTTAAGGCTGTGTAATGTACTTTTTTAAGTTATTTCGTTTTCACGTAATGAGATTTTTATTAATAATCCAAAAATTTATAATTATAGGCAAAATAATTCATCACCCGATATTACTTTTATCTACTGATAATAAATAGCAATGAATTCTCTAACCTTGTCCTCGTGGATAAATCTAGCTGACGTAATACGTATGGCAATCTATGAGTGGTGACTTCTAATACTCGTGTAATCGTGTTACGACTTACGTGTATTATTATGGTCAAGGTCGCTAAGTTTTATATAACTGTAAATACTATTTAATGCGGCCTTTACATCTAGCTAAATTCAGTTAGCTATATTAGCATTAGGAAAGCATTTACCCGACCGTAAAGGATTATTAGACTGATAACCGCACTTGTTAGATATCTCGTCTAGTCAGATGCTCTATATTAGTTACCTAACGCGGTCTTTGCACTGCTAAATTCAGCATGCTGCATGACCTTGAAAAAACATTGCCAACTCGAGTGTAAAGCATTTAGACAGCCACTATAATTACTACAAGAAACGTGTTGTCTATCTTTCCAAATTTAAATTTAACCATTGGGAAAGCCGTTTAAACAATGCTGTGTCCAAATTACCTAATTAAGCTCGCTACATACCCGTGCGACCATACACTCGATTGGTTCGCAAGGAATTAAGCAAATTTCGTTTTTCATTTTACTTGCATTGTTTTAACAAATGAAACGATTTATAACATAAAAATAATGGTGAACAAAAGTAATACATGTATTTTTATTTATTTATAGTTTAAAAAAAATACGCTAAGGTTAATAATACAGTGTTACAATTGGCTTAAGTAAATTCAGGTGGTTATGTAGGACTCACCAGCTAGAAAAGCCAGCACTAACCCACTAAAAGTTAAAACCCAACCAAATCTCTCCCGTCATAATGGGGCGTCGCAGGAAGGTATTTTATGAGTTCTTAACAACACAACTTCACATTTCCTTGCCAACTTGTGGGGGATTCCCCAAACTATGGGAATCTCAAGTTGATTGGTGATTTATTGAGGATTGGTATTATGCAGGGAAAATGTGGGGATTTTGAATATCGATAGTCCAGGCCAGGTCAGAACACTTCTTCAAGAACTCCAAATACTTAAGTATATATTTTTTGGTTAAATTGAATGGTTCTCCATATTTACATAATATTTGTTTATTCTGTCACTAATAGTAAAATACTTTTGTGTATCTTAAAATGCTTATACATTTATTTCATAACATTTTAAACCAGAGAACCGCAATCGTTTAACTGTATTTAGACCAGGGAAGATATTGTTTTTTCTCTTCCGTGATTTAGATTATTGCGGTTCTTTAATGTAGAAGTGTCTTTCATTGCATATTGCAACGTAGCATTAATGTAATCTAATTGCAATATAGTACTATCTTTAATGGCAACAAGTGGAGGGATTAAAAAACTGGACCGCAGTGTCAAGTTTTTTTTTTTATGGGACTAAGGGGGCAAACGGGCAGGAGGCTCACCTGATGGAAAGCGATCACCGCCGCCCATGGACATCTGCGACACCGCAGGGCTTGCAGATGCGTTGCCGGCCTTTAAGGAAAGTGTACGCTCTCTTCTTGAAGGTGGCCAGGTCGTAGCGGTTCGGAAAGACCGCCGGCGATAGCTGGTTCCACAGAGTGGTTGTGCGAGGCAGAAAATGCCTTAAAAATCGCACTGTGGTGGAACGCTGGACATCGAGGTGGTGTGGATGGAATTTACTATTTTGGCGCGATGTCCGATGATGAAATTCAGCAGCCGGGATCAGTCCGAACAATTCCTCGGAACACTCCCCATGATAAATGCGGTAGAAGATGCAGAGTGATCCAACATCTCTACGCAGAGCTAAAGGATCAAGCCGATCGGAGAGAGCTTGATCGTCGATAACTCGAGCCGCCCTACGTTGAATGCGGTCAAATGGAAGTAGCTGGTACTGGGGAGCTCCCGCCCAAAGATGAGAACAGTACTCCATGTGGGGCCGAATTTGCGCCTTATAAAGAATAAGACGCTGACGCGACGTGAAGTACTGTCTCGCCTTGCTGAGCACACCAAGCTTCTTTGAGGCCAGTTTGGCCTTACCTTCCAATTGACCACGGAACTGGACGTTGCTCGAGATGTCGACGCCAAGTATTCCGATACTGGCTGTGGGAGACAGAGGAGTGTCCTCAAATTGAGGAGCTACGATAAATGGCGACTTTTTAGCGGTTAACGCGCAAACCTGTGTCTTTTTGGGGTTAAATTGGACTAAGTTTAGTCGACCCCAATCCGAGACTTTGGTTAACAAAGATTCGACTTCAGACACAAGTTTGTTCCGGCTCTCGTCGACGAATTCCCGAGAAATATTAGCGCGGCCAGTGTACAGGGCATCCACAGTGCTATCGTCTGCATAGCAATGAATGTTGCTGATTTGCAACATGTCATTGATATGCAGAAGAAACAGAGTAGGAGACAGTACGCAGCCTTGTGGAACACCAGCATTGACATATTTAGGATCAGAGCAAGCACCGTCGACAACGACCTTGATGCTCCGATCTGCCAAAAAGCTGGCGATCCAGTTGCATAATTTCTCGGGGAGCCCGAAGGAAGGTAGCTTCGAAAGAAGCGCTTTGTGCCATACCCGATCAAAGGCCTTCGCTATATCCAAACTGGCTGCAAGCGCCTCCCCCTTGGTCTCAACTGCTTCTGCCCATCTATGTGTTAGGTAAACTAGAAGATCACCGGCTGAGCGACCTCGACGGAAGCCGTACTGGCGGTCACTGATCAGCCGGTGCTCTTCTAGGTACCGCAGGAGCTGGCAGTTAATAATGGACTCCATTATCTTGGAGAACAAGGAGGTAATGGCTATAGGCCTGTAATTGGACGGATCCGAGCGGTTGCCCTTTTTTGGGATCGGGTGCACTAAAGCGGCCTTCCAGGATTTCGGGACTACGCCTAGTGAATAAGAGTGCCGGAAAAGACGCGTTAAGACCGGTGCCAACTCCGGAGCACATGTCTTCAACACGATCGGAGGGATGCCATCGGGCCCACTCGACTTATGAATGTCCAAGGAAAGAAGTGCTTTCCGAACTGCACTTTGGCGAAACTGAACTTCCGGCATGGTAGTATCACACCGCGGGATTGTCGGTGGTGAGTTTCCTTGGTCATTCAGAGTCGAATTGGACGCGAAGAGAGTGCCCAGTAGTTCGGCTTTCTCCTTCGCGGTATGAGCCAGCGAGTCATTCTCCGTGTGCAGAGGTGGAAAAGAAGGCTTACAGAAATTCCCTAAAACAGCTTTGGAGAGAGACCAAAACGCACGTGTTCCTGAAGGGAGACGCCCCAATCTCTCGCCAATTCTGCCGATGTGCTTCGACTTCGCATTAGCGATACTATTTTTGAAGGACCTGGAGGCAAAGTTATACTCCTTTTTAAAGGCGCTCGTATTTACATCACTAGACGCTGATGCGCCAGCCCAGGCTTGGTAGCATTCCAGCTTTCGGCGAGATGCCGTCTTACAGGAGTGACCAAACCAAGGCTGGGATTTGCCTCCAATGGGTACTGCAGAGAACGGAATAAATAGTTCCATACCCTGAAGTACCACATCGGTGACAGCGTCAGCAACGACGTCTGGATCATCTGGCGAGAAGCAAATTTGCCCCCATGGGTAGGACGCAAAGAATGACCGCATCCCGTCCCAATCAGCTGACCTGTAATGCCATACACGGCGACAGCCCGCAAAGCGAGGCCGTGTTGAGCGCGTCACTGGCACTGTACTCCGGACAAGACAGTGGTCCGACGAACCAAGACGGGGATCGACGGAGACCAGGTAGCCGTCCGGATGAGAGGTCAACAGAAGGTCCAACAGGGAAGGTGTATGATCTTCCACATCAGGGATTCGCGTTGGCGAGGTAACCAGCTGTGTCAGATCATATGCTAATGCGAAATCGTGAACAGATCTCCCCGCATGATCGGTAGTACGTGATCTAAGCCATTCTGTATGATGGGTGGTTGATATTCCGACCACTCGCACTAAACGCTATTTATCATCTTTTATAATGCGCACAGCTAAGAAATGGAATGCCCTGCCTGCGTCTATTTTTCCGAGAGCGTACAACCTGAAACTTTTTAAGGTGCGTGTCAACAGGCTTCTTTCTCCTGGGCAAACTCGCTAGTCGTTAGATGATAGATCATAGACCTCATCTATGCCTTCGAGGCTCGAGCTAAGATGAAGGTCAAGAGTGAGCCCATTTTTAATTAAAAAAAAGTTTAACCCATCGAGCAAAATGCTTGTTACAAAAATATGGAAAAAGAATGAATTTTTTTTTAAAAATATGAAAGATAAAAAATATTATTTAAATAGTTGAAATCTGTTTCCTTTCTTAAAATAATTTTGATGAGAGTTTATCGGGAACCAGTATATCCTTGTCCCCGAATTTGGGAACTTGACTTGGATTGTCAGGGAATTTGATAAAGCCGCGTTGACACGCTCAAAGACTGCTTTGACAAAGTGGCTTTGATTAAAGTTTACTTGGATACCTGTTGACACACTCAATGTCTGCTTTGACAAAAAGCTTTGAATTTCTCTTTGAAAAACACACCTCAAAGTCAACTTTGATTGCTCGTTTACACGATCAAAGTAGTCATGAAAACTATTTTGTCAAAGTAGGCTTTGGGAAAAGTAGAACACGGTCCAAGTCTACTTTATTAAAGTCCATATCATAGTGCGCTTTGATTGCTCGCTTACATGATCAAAGTTGCGTCAAAGTAGTCATCAAAACTAATTTGTCAAAGTAGATTTTGAACGCGGCTTTAATTGGTATTTGGTAACGTTCACGCTGTATTCTGTGCGCTGTACGTGTATGTACTCACTACTCTGTGGTGCATAATATCATGATAATATGTCAGTCATAGAGTATATTGCTACCATGGATGACAAATAATGATTGCTACATAAAAAAAATCTCAGTTGTCAACTTCAACCTCTGAGAGGTGAATACAAAAATTTATAATGAAATTTCTTTTTAGTGAATAATAAACTTTAAATGAATCTTTAAGTTATAAATAGGCTTCTTGTATATTCCAAAAGCATTACAAAGTATTTCTTTACCTAAGTTAATTTATTAAATTGCGACTTTTCATTATTGGTGCAAGTGCAGTTTGTTTATTTTATATTAACATCTACGAGATACTTGTTTTCATAATAATCATCAGCTTTAAAAGGTAAGTTATTTTTTGTATAGGTATCTGTCGATCTTGTAGTTATTATATATTTATTATTTACAACTCTCTTAAATTATTAGCAGATAACTTGGTGATGAACTCTTATATTGTAACTGAAGTAAATTAGAAGAATAAATTTAAAGAGTGTTTCAACATGGCAAACTCATCAGTTGTGTTAAGCTTTCATGAAATTTTACTCCATCAATCTGATGTTGCACTTTTGAATGGGCCACATTGGCTTAATGATACCATTATATCATTTTATTTTGAATATTTAGAGAAAGTAACATTTAGTAAAGAAAAACATATCTTATTTGTGTCACCGGAAGTTACTCAATGTATTAAAATGGTTGAAGCAAGTGAAATTGGAATCTTTTTGGAACCACTTAACATTAAGACCAAGAAATTCGTTTTCTTTGCCCTTAATGATAATGATTCTCCGGAAAGGGCTGGAGGTTCTCATTGGAGTCTGCTTGTTTTCTCTAGAAACGAAAACTGTTTTTATCATCTTGACTCATCAGCTGGGAGTAATCATAATGTTGCATGGGATTTTAGTAGCCACTTAATGTCTTATTTAAGTGAAGGAGGTAAGATATAACTTTACTAATAATTTATAAGATCTACTTTATATATGAAATCCTTAAATCCTGTTAATATTATAAAATACATAATGAATAATTCCTATATGTTTGTACATACTATGTACAAGATATTTGAATTGAGATCAACTCTATAACATATTTTATTTGTTTTTCAGCTATTTCTTTTGTTGACAAGGAATGTCAACAGCAAAGCAATGGCTATGATTGTGGAGTATATGTTATTTGCAATACTGAACTACTAGCAAATTATGCAAAGAATCATGGAGAAATACAATTATGTGATATGAAAATTAAAATAAATCCTAATATAAAAAGAAAAGAGATTTTGAACATCATCAAAAATCTTTCTCAAACACAATGAAGTGGTTCTATTATTGTATCCCTAGAATTGTGCTATGTCTAAGTGCTTTATGTATAAAGATCCTCAATTTATTTTAAATTACAAATGGGTTTTCATTGTAAATCCTTAGTTTGTGAGTTATGTTCCAGTGGCAGTCTTAACCAGGTTTCTTTAACAACTTCATCTAAAAAAATTTTCTCATACTCTCCTTTACTACTCTATACATACCTATAGTCTATAGATTAAATTTCAAAAAATCCTTTCTTAGTCATTACTTACCTTTTTATTATAAGAAAAGACAAAATTTTAGCCCTATATTATATATATTTTGCCCTAACATTATAGAGCTATTATTAACCATGACCTTTGAGGTCATTTTAATATATAAAATTCCTGTCACAATGTTGGTCCTCGATGAACACCGAAAGTATTTATCCAATCTTAATTTTTTTTTAAATGTGGGATTTGTTCCAATTTAAAAGATAGGATAGACTTTCTATCCTGATTATTTTTCCTTTTTTATTGAAAAATTAACGATTCCGTAGAAAGAAGCTGAGCAACGGCTGCCCTAAGCTACAAATTCTACCCCCAAGGTAAAGAAAAAAATAATAATATGTGTGCCACAACAACACGTGGTCGGGTCTGCTAGTAGTTACAAAATCAGTCTGGACAAGCAACTTTATATTAACAGACAAGCCAGTTAAGAAAAGAAGTTAATAATTCAATGTACAACATATTTTTGGTAACAGAAAATCTATTGTTATACTATAATTAAATTGAAATAAGGCTAATAAATACAGTGATTTAGTTGCTGAGATATAAATTATTATCTTTATTAAAAAAAACACCATCATATACATTTTTAAAAATTCTATAAAATTATTATTATTTAAATTAGATTTCTTGTATTGATTATTTTCTATGTCTGCGGTGGAACCCATCCTCCAAATGCTTTTTCCAACTCTTCAGCAACAGCTAAGCACAATCTATCATTATTATGATTTGCTACAACTTGAATTCCGATTGGTATACCGTTTTTGCTTAATCCTAATGGAATAGTAGTTGCTGGAAGACCAAGACTGTTAAATATACCAGTATATATAAAATTCATAGGTCTCACTAGAGGCTGATCGTGATATGGCGCGGGTGTCGGATGAGTAGGGAATAAAAATATGCCATTATCACCAAGCATATTTTTAAAAATATTCTCCAATTCTAGTCGTATCCGCTCATATCGTATGTATTTTTCTTTACCATCATCTTTTTGGTCTACAATAGAAGTTAGTAAGGCGATAAAAGTATTATCAGATAATCCAAAGAAACTTTTAAAGATTTCTCGATAAATTTTCCAGTAAGCATAATCCTTCATTAAATATTGACCAAAGTTAACTTCGCTTTTCATTGTTTCAAACCAAATGGTAATGGACTTCTTTAACCACTTAATATTTGTTTTCTCCGCAGTAATTTTATGTTTAACTTTAAAGTGATCAACAACTTTCTTCAAAGCCGTTACTATTTCCGGATCCACTTTGCTGCACATTAGAGCGTTGTTACTGATCTGATAGAATACTTTCAATTCGCCAATATTGACAGGCTGTTCCAGCTTTAACATCTTGCTGTTCTCTCCCGATATTATATCGAGAATTGGCTTCAAATCAACAGCATATCTTGTCATGGGTCCTATGCCTATAAATAAATGTGAAAACAAATTATTATTTACACAAATACAACAGAAGCGATATGTATTATACATTTATAATATTATATACAAACAACGCCATCTAAACATTTCTTTTTTTTTAAGGTTCCGGTAAACTTTTAAAAAAATAATTAAATGCGGTTATTATTATTTTTTAAAATAAAGAATCCCGCTATTTTAATGTGAAAGAGTAACAAACATACACATATACAAAATATTCTTATTTATCTGTAGTACCTAGTATGATAAAACTTACATAAGAATTTATCTTGTTCATCGGTTTCAGGGGGAGGATATTGTCCGTCATTAGATACGACTTTTCGAGTAGGTTTATGTCCGTATATTCCATTAAAGTAAGAGGGCATACGTATAGATCCACCTATGTCGGAACCTGAAAATAATTTTAATTTATTGTTACTCAGATGCGACAAATATAAATAATAAATTGGTCAATTGCTAATTGGAGGAAGTGGCGGAAAGAAGGATGAATTAAGTGAATTTTAAGATCTTAAAACACTCATAACTTTGTATGACGATTGACAGTTATCGGTTCACCTTCCTACTCTTTATGAACGCTCTGAGTCACAGAATTGTGAGTGTGACAAACAAACAGACTTAGATACTAAAAATAAGAAAGATTCTATAAGGATTCCGTTTCTGATCCTAAAAAAAAGCTTGATAATGAGATTACGCTATAGTTATTAAATACCTACTAGCGGCTTGCCCTCGCATGGCTCGAGTGCGTCCCTAGGTATTTATTATATTTTCTGAGTTTGAGTGATTTTCTGAGATTTCCTAACGAAAAAAAGTAGCCTAAGTTACTCCTTATTACATCAGGTATCTGCCAGTGAAATTCCCGTCAAAACCCGTCCAGCCGTTTCGGAGATTAGCCGGAACATACAGACAAACATTTAAAAAAAAATCTTATAATTACCATATATAATGTTATATGCATTTAGTAAAAAGCTTTTATTGCGACATTACAAACAAACACTTTAATTTTATTTATCTTTATCTATAGATAGGCTAAATATAAAAAGTAGATAAAAAGGTTAATTTAGCAGCTTAATAGGTACGGTATATTATTTGAGTTGTACATTTTTGGATTTACTAGGTCAATTAAAAACTTTTAGACATATAGCACTGCTTCGTCTTGAATATTTTAAAAATCAGAAAATCGCTGTTCAAAACCAATTTTCATTAATAGATATATAATTAATTAATTCTTATAATAGGTATATACGAGTATTGTACGTAGAAATATAACATGTGATAAAATTACCAATTCCAAAGCAACTACCGGCTGCCGCTTGTATACATCCTTCACCACCGGATGATCCGCCGACAATTCGATTAGTATTATATGGATTATTTGTCCTGCCGTGAATTTTGTTATAGGTTTCGTACCTTGTAATTTTAAAAGAAAACAACAATTAATTAATTAATGAATAACATTTATATTGGATATATTTAATGTTCTACTCATTTTATATGTATTTTAAACCAATTGCCAGTCACTCAGCTTCCGTGGTAGGTACTTAAAAATGACGTAGGTACTTCGTGTGCATTAATCCAAAATATAAATTATCTTTATTCTAATTCCAGTTAAATTAATTGAACTGTTACAGCTTAAAAATATAAGCAATTCAAAGACTTTATACCTGTTTTTTTTATTGAATTCATTATGATTTAATTACTTTGTTATTTACAATAATTAAATAGTATGTTTTATGTTTCCATCTACCATTATAAATTATAATCTTGTAAAAACAAAACTAACTATATTTCAAGTACATTATATTTTAGAGTAGTTTTTTTTAATAATATTCCCATTTAGAACAAACTACAAGCATTTACTTTATAAATCTTTATATAATATCATATTATAAAGAAGAACGTACCACATGCAAAGTTCTGGAACATTTGTTAAACCGAGAATGATGGCGCCCTTGTCTCTCAATAATTTAATCACCTCAGCGTCTTTGTCTGCTATGCTATTTTTGCGTAATACTACTCCAGCGGTCTGATGAAGACCTGTAAGTTGATTCATAACAGTTCCAGTTATTTAAAATATATTGATATTTGTTTTAAAAATTCATAGTAGATCAGGATCAACCAAAAATACCTTACATAATTACTATTTATATTAGTAAGCTGTTAAGCTACCAATACACGTAAAAAATTCAGCTACCAAAATGATACGCAACTTATACGATTCGAACGATTATAAAGCTCTCTAAAGTTTGTTTGTTTTATTATAAGCCACTTGCATACATCATCTAACTTGTTCCTGCACTTTCGCAAAACAAACGTGTTGTGAGTGTCTTGCCTCCGCTAGAACCATCAACACATGAACATGCTTGTTGGCGGTTAAATATTCTTAAAGCTAAGTCCTCGACGCCGCTCGCGTATTTATTAATTATCTATGTATTATTGGCGCATTTGATCATATCTAGCGCGTTTAGTAGCAGGTGGTCTTGCGCATTAGAACAAGCAAAATATATGTATTAAGCTTTCTAATATTAGTCTAGACTCAAGATAATAAAAACTGAAAATCAAGTTACTTTGCCGGCGTTTCTTTTAAGCAATAAGAATTGTGTTATTCACCTCTAGAACGTATCCTAGTCGGTGGTGTAAGTCTACATTTTTCACAAAGTATCTACCAAACTCAAATATTTTGAATCAAACTCTATTTACTCCACTTCATTAAGGAGTTCCGTCGCCTACCTCCGAATGTGATTATCAGGTCAACACCATATTTTTTTCGGACCATCGAGTATACCCTTTTAATATCTATAAAAATGAAATCGGGTTAGTAGTAACAGCCGGGTTTTTTTTATTTTCGTAAATAGTTTTTTATTTACAACTTTATAGTTTTGGTCAGTTAGAGATTTATAGTTTTATTTAATAATTTCTTATCCTAAATTACTTTTAAATATATAAGTTGTATATAATTTTGTAATCGCCTTTTAAAAACCTCCATTTTGATATCCCGCTCAATTGATTCGGACGAAAATGGTTTTTTAAGACACAAATTGGAGCCTAGAATCCGCCATTTTGACTTTTAATAACCGTATAGCCTATGACACTCGTGTTATCAAGATTAATCGAATGACGTATGAATCATCAAAATCGGTTAAGCCGTTTAGAAATTATGAGGGAACATAGGATCGGACATGCACACATACATACAGATCAAACACATAACCCTCCTTTAGGCTTCGCCGCAGTCAGGTAAAAGAGAGAATCACGCAAATTGATCCAGACTTTAGTTATCGATGTACGAATGTACATACAAAATAAAATAAGTACTAGCCGAATATACATACAAAATATAATCCTCTTTTTTGGAAGTCCGTAAAAAGTATATTGTGTTAATAATTCATAGTTGTAACAAAAATCCATTTTCATATTTTGTTTCATATAAACTTCCATTAGCTATCCCACAAGCCATTTTAAATCCCAAAGATAAAACTGTTACGCCCATTTAACATGACTCTTTATGTATTAAGTTTTCGTGTAAGTATTAATAAATTCTTTAAATAAATTTGTTTTCTTTAGCTATCTAAGACACCCAGGTTTTAAAATATAATAAGCGGGAACAATCAAAGTACATTGACGGATTGTATCTTAGCAAAAACCATCCCTGTACAATAATGAATTTTTCATTTAATATCTACCTTACCGAATTTTTGTGGCGACAGTAAATTTTGATGAAAATTCGAGGGCAAAGATATGATTATTTATGTATATCTAATACAATATTGATTTCTAGATTACAAGCTAGGTACTTACTTGAACGAAATATAAAAATCATACCATTTCATTTTAATATCAAAATACCAGTCATCTAAGTATTTATATAAATTTAAGTGACTGTTTGTTACTTTACCTCTGAATGCTACTCCATTTAATCTAGTTTTCGTAGCGCTATAGAATTCCGAGTCAGAGTTGACCGTTTCTTATTATAAACAGTAGAAACTTTACAACTATTTTAAATTGAATTACTCCAAAAATCTGCACACTGTTATTTTCACTACCTACACAACATAAAGTATCTAATTAGAACTACCTTTTTGGATTTTTTCGCGAATTTCTTTTGATTTTTGGTTTCCAACATTTCGAATGGTTTACCCTGTACAGCACAGATTGCTGTCATTACACGGGAGTCTACCCCGAAAAGATAGTTTTATAAAATATCAGATATTTGCGTCTATATATAAGAACGTACTTATTATAAAATACCTACTATTAACTTTATATTAAATAGGTACTGTTTAAACTTATGATCAAGCTAAATTACAGAGTACAAAGTACAGATAGGTACAAATAAGAATAATGTTGTTTTGTAATAACCGTCTCTTTTAAGTTACTACAACTTGCTATCAATAACAAGGCTAAAACGTAGGTCAATTCTAATAATTAAATACATTGAAAAAAGTTGATTTAAAATATTTGCTTTACCTTCGACAGCAATACAATCCTTGGTAGTAAATGGAACGCCCAAGAAGGGTTTTTCCTTTAATAATTCATCCTCAGTCTTCAAACCACTAAGAATTAGTCTGTCCGCCATCTTGGCCTCTTTCAGGGCCAACTCAAAGCGGTCATACACCAAGCAATTCAGCTGCCTATTAATGTTTCTAATCCGCTGTATACATATTTGTACCACATCTTCACTGCTTATCTGAAAAGTAAGCAATTAAATAATAAATAAATAACTTGTAACACAAACAAAGAAGTGAAGGTTTCTAAATATGAAAAATCAAAAGTTAAAAATAACTCAAGTACGACTGTTTGGATGGAAAAAAAATATTTTTTAGATGTAGATACACACTACACATTCCCAAAGAGGGTTGGCGTCAGGCAGGCGGCCGGTCGTAAAACTTTTGCAAATCATATCAGTAGTACAGAAGATGTACTGCGCCGACCCCAAGTGATTGGGAAATGGGAGGGAGAAGAAGAAGGTACACACTACACACACACGTACAGGAAATGAAACCTAGACACTTTGCTGTCCCACAGTTAAACATAAACGGTTTTAGAATATAATACTTAATAAGATATTTGATAAAATTAATATATAAATATTGAGACGATCGGGTTCGTATCATTTGCTTTACTAAATATTTTAAACTTAAATTATTCGCTTCTTGACATTAATAGTTATTAAAAAAATTAAATGAGGTACTTAAATAATTCATGGTAATTTTAAATTTTATTGTGGATTAGTACAACTCTATAAACATATGTACAGGGCTCGGATACCGGTATATTTTTCGAAGCGGTTTCGTCTTAAGCATCTAAAAAACGATTTCTATTGGTTTCGTTTGAACAGAACGCTATATAAAACGTTTTTGACCAGGAACAAACCGTTAACCGTTATTTTTCTGGGATATCCAGTACAAACTTACGAATAGTTTCATTCACCAGGTGAGCGTGGCTTAGTTTAGTTGTTGCACGTTGAGCGCGGTCGCGTCCTGCGGATTTAACCGGTTTTTGAAAACGTTCCTGCTTATGTAACTATTAGTACAACTATAAATACTATTTAATACGTCATAACTGGTTGCTATATCATGTTTGTATGTAATATTTATGTAAATAACGATGGAAACAAGTTATAAACAATGGATGGATTAAAGTGTTATTATTTCGTAGCATGTATTTTACGTTGTATATTAAGTCACGTTCGAATTTGATTATTTTATTAATAATTACAAACGTAACACGCGATAGTAGGCAGTAGGCACTAACTCATAAAATATCTGATTGTTCGAAATGTCGGTACTGTAAATGGCCCTTCAGTTCTTTCATTTCTTACTTTTTAGTGCCTTAAAATCGGCTTGCTTTTTTCAAAATTAAACATTAAAAAAAACCCTACACAAATTAATTGTAATTTAACGATTACATTGGCACGCGTGAAGCACTTAATCGAGTAATCATACGCCAAAATGCCTTACATCATTTTAGAAAGAGCTGATACTCTTACACTGCTGGACCGATATTACCCAAACATAGCTAAGAACCACCGCAAGGAAACTGGTTTTCAAAAGAAAAAGACCGCATGGAAATCGGTCCACCCGTTTGAGAGCTACGATGCCACAGACAGACACACACACAGACAGACATAGACGTCAAACTTATAACACCCCTCTTTTTGCGTCGGGGGTTAAAAAACATTAAAATCAAGCTGTCTGGATAATAATATGTTGTTACAAAGTAAAATATAAGTTATTTTGCCGTATGTCCCGAAAAAAGACAATTTGCATTTAAAACAGTATTTAATGCTGACCTTTAAAAATTCACTCGACAAAATAAGCCATTTTAACCTGCCGAGTTAATTAATGTTCATTTAGAAAGAAAATTCAAAATAGAGATACAGAAAGTCGTTTTATAAAATTGCCTCGAACTGTAACCTAATTCTACAAATCTGATTATTCACGGTGAAGTATTTTAGAAAATTGTATAAAACTTTTTATCAAACAGTGGGTAGGTTTAAATATGAATTATCGATGAAACTTTGCAATTGAGAATAACTTATCTATTTGCTTATTGGTAAATTTCAAGTTTGGCATATTAAATTCAACGTTCATTAGTCTCTCCACGACCGCGGACACGTCGATGTGTCAGTTAACAATAGATTTCTTAGTATTTTAATTAATTTCTTAGAAATTTACCTGGAGGTGTTAAAAGGTATTCAGTTCAAAAAATATTAAAAAAAATGGCCTGCTTAGAAAATGGTCCAAAGAGCATTTTCGGGCATATTTCAGTTATTTTTCGCTTTCGGTCATTTTAAGTAGACGTGTTTTATAATACAGAATATTTATTTGAAGTAAATAATCGGACAAACTCGAGCCTGACTCGCATACCGAAGGTTTTGAAATTCGAAGCACTGTAACTGTAACATGTAAATTAATTTAAAAAATGTATTTTTTAAAAGGAGGATGTTTCTCAAATATATTGTGTTATTATGCTGTTTAAAAAACAATGCTAATCAATAAGTTCCAATCTTATTGAAGTTATACTTCTTTTGGGACATTTGAAAAAAAATGATAAGAGTAAAATTTTTACTATGAACGCGCACACCGACAGCCAAAAAGCGACATGATGAAGTTAGCTGATAACTGTTTGTTGCCCTTGTTATTGTCTGACAAATGATATATACCATTATATTCTTTTCTTAAATTATATTTTATAAATATATGATTGTAATACGCCTAACACGCCTTATTTAATTATTTTTATTAATTTATAATTCCTTTTACAAACAGCGAGTTGTGACATACGGTATGAAATCTTTAGCTATTTTTGTTCTGTTACACAAAAGAAGTATAACTTCTTACGTGTGTACATAAGTACACACACGCGTTTTTTTATTTAATTTTTCGTTTATATGATACATCTAATCTTCGAATAAAATGGGTTTGATATATTAATGACTGACGACGGAAATGGAGAAAATAAAGGGATCCCTTTTTCCCTTTCGCAACAGAAATCAGTCAACGTAAACATTTAGTTAGGCGAAATTAAAGCCCACTCTTTCTTTCATGATGCCCGAAGAATGTTTATATTTAAATGTTTTTTTTTTCTTGAAACATATGAGACAAAATTAAGATATATAAAGCCTAAATATTACTAAACTCGAATCAGAATTGGAGAAATATACTCGCCTTATATAAAAAGAAAAATATACATCCGAAATTCACACTCTTTTTTAAAGTCGGTTAGAAGTCTATAACAATAAATGTTTTAAAATTTGTTATCTCTCGTATAAAATCTCCGATTAAAAGACATACACGTTTTTTTTAACTTTTTAGGGCCATATGTATGTATTTTTTTATTAACAGCACGATTTTGCAATTACTATTGATATATGATTTTACATTGAAAATAAAATAAAATTAATATTTTAATGTAAGCAAACTCAATAATAGCGCCGTCAAATTTCCAATTAAGTGTAGTTAAAGTATCTATAATATTATGACAAAAAGTACTAATTAAGTAGGTATATATTGAATACATCCTAAGAAATCCAATTTAAATGAAATAATATAAAATGAAATAAATCTATAAAACAAATAATGCTTAACTCATGGTACGGTTGGAGCTGTTATTATTGACCTAGTTTTACATTATCCACTTATTGTAATAATATGTATTCCTTGTGGGAATTTAACATGAAAATAGTATTTTAAGAACCTACCTACTAAATGAATTCAATTTCGTTTTTCTTTTATGACTATTTTTTAATGAGTCTATGGATTGATTTGATTTAAAAAGTTGTTTGTAAATAGAAATATAGTTTAATCTCTCACAAACTATAAGCGATAAGATAAGGATGAATAAAATTAAACCAAATTGTACTTAAATAAACATCGCTGTAACATTGCTCACGAATGCGCTACCGGATGCCTTGACAATAGATGAATTGATAACGTAATGTCTGTTTCCAGTATAAAAAACAACTTACAAAAAACACACTTATAGACAACTTATAAATAAGGAGGAAAAATGTAAAAACTTTTCCATTACTTATCCTATTATGTACGTACCATAACGCACGACATCAATTTGACTAAGCTATAACAAAATTAAATAATCATGAGAAATATACGCATAAACAAACCTGTTTGGTTCTTATTTTCCTTGCGACCTCTATAGCTGGTTGCTTGAGAATATCATCCTTTATCGGTGGTATAGTCTTTCCTTTATTTCCGTAAATTAACATGAAAAAAATACTGGTGATCACATCTAAAAATGTTCTTATTGCACTTAACACGTGTATTTTAAACGGTATCGGCCGGTCTTTTATCTCTGTTGTATCCATTTTCACTATTCAAAATGCGGTTTAAAATGAATCAAAGTATATATAGTATTTATACTTGTAATTTACTTTTTATCGCGTATTTTATCACATGAATCATAGGATTACATATCAACACAACCGTTCCGTCCTCGGAAGATACTCGACTCAGTTGTGAAATCACAATATGGAGCGCGAGTTTTCAAATATTAGCTATCTCGCTCTGCCTTACAAAGAATCCGTGCGATAGCCAACGTCATAATGTTGACGTCTGACGCCAACACTCGCACTCACACTTACAGCCTGTACCACTGTGTCTCCGCCTCGTAAGTCGTAACTCGTAAGTAGTAGCAGACTTTTAAATGATAAACCCTACATCAATCTACATTGTAAACAACAAAAATGGTAGCATACAAACTACTAAATAACATCAGCTCTAGTTTAAAATTTAAATATTTAAAGGCAGTTATTATTGGGGGACTATCAAACAGGATTTATCATCGAATGTGTGTATTATTTGTAATTTGTTTTATTATATAATACTAAAGACGTCATACGGCCTTGTACCGTTTTTTTAATAATATCCTCAATCATAATGATTAGACTTTATATCATCAAACTGTGTTCAAAGTTTAAATGAATTTCTCGAATTGATTATTATTTGATACCTCCCTACTATTTTTTAAAAAAATGTAGTATTACGAGTAGGCTAGATTTGTAATATAAAAAAATCGTTATATTGTCAAGAAAAGTTAGATGTCAGAGATATTAAAAATTCTGGCTACTTTTTATAAAGGTAAGCTTTTTATAAGGGTATGCCCAGTGTTGTTGTTGACAAAAGTCTTTAAGTTACGTAACAAAAAAGTACCTACATTTGAACTCTTTCTTCCACCCGCGCACAAGTGATCTTTTAAGGACCGATCCACACTATATTTATATTATAGTTCTTGGTTTGAATTGATTTTGGACTTTTGGTAAAGTATTTTTATTCAAGAAACATTAAGTGCATTTTTTATAAATTCAACTATAAAAATAGTAAGAAGAAGTAGCAAAATTTGTATTTACTGTTACACTAATATTAATATTAATTACTAATAATATAAAAATAGGATTTATATCGTAAAATAATCATTTGACTCTGTAAGTTGTCATTCTGATGATATAATACTTATTTGATTTTTCTTAAGTCGAAAAAGGGCGGGAAAAGCATTGTATTGTTTTATGAATTAATGCAATATGTCATTCCTTTTCGTAATGTTGTTTGAGGCGATACAAATAATAAAAACTGGGTGCCGATACACCGAATTTTACTTGGCCTACCTGACCTACTTCTAAAATACTCCCGTAATATAACACAAAATTGTGTAGGTCATATCCATTACTAATATCCAATAAACCTAAAAAGAGTGTCAGAAAAAAAACCAGGCGTAGTCGTGGCTGGCTGTTAGTCTCAATTTTTCAATGTATATTTAAATTTATGTAGTTCATCTCTTTCACCTTTCTGACGTAGATTTAATGGATCATCAAAGATTAAAATCGAAGGATGCACCCTGTCCATTCTAAATATGGTCACATATTTGTGCCTTATTTTTTAACATGTTTTTTTAACTCTACCATAGCAACTGAAAATAATATTTTATCAGCAGTAGAAAATATTGTACAAATAAACCGGGGACTCACCTGAATGTGTTAGCTCTCTCATTTCAGTATGGAAAATTTTTGCTTAATCTACACACGTCAAGGATAAAATTAAATCCTTTACATTAAATGATTGTGTGTTTAATATAATATGCTTTTAAATTATAAAATTTTAGTTGTAAATATAACAAATGTGCACACCCCAATTCTGATTCCTTATAAAAAGGTATTATATTATCATTAAGTAAAAAGAAATATCTCTTTAATTTATAAAAATAAAACCCACATTCACGAATGAGATACGCAGTGATTAATTCAACTCGTTTTTCTTTTCAGATCGTTATGTCCGATACGCTGCAAGACGAAGAGTCGTCGTCACGAAGTAATTCTCTTAAAATATCCTTACCAACTGTCCTGTGCACGGATGCCTCTGATAATGCCGCTATACCAGATACAACCTCTTTTGTGAATTCAGAGTCCAAACATTCCTTGCCCTCTAGCTTCGGTACACCAACGACACCTCTTAGACTATCATCGCCTTTATCTTTGCCCACGTCGCCTACTCCGTTCACAAAGGCATCGCTTCAAACACGCTCTAACAAATCCCTAGATGAACCCTCCGAGAAAAAACAATCGAGCACTATGAATAAACCTCTAGTCAACGCAGGATCCGCTACCGGTGAGTCAGCTTTTTTATGTTTATAAATGCATATTTCCAAGTATTTGCAAACTAAACATTTGAAACACATGTTTATATGTATCATTCTACTAATGTTATAAACGCGAAAGTTTGTAAGAATGTATGGATGTATGTTTGTTACTCTTTCACGCTAGAACGGCTGAACGGATCTGGATGAAATTTGGCTTTTTATCCCATAATATACGGTCCCCAAGGGATAGATTTGTTTTTGTTTTTGGGGTGAGGGTGAGCTGCTAGTTTTAAATATGCGTAAATCGACATGATTAATCGATTTTTATTGTGGCAAAGTAAACACTAACTGGTTCACAACTATAGTTTAACGAGCAAAATGTCCTTCAACTAAGGAAAGTAAGGGCGGGCGGGCTATTCCTATTCGCAAAATATTTGTTTTGTAGGGTTTGTTATTTAAATACATCTACTGGGAGAAAATATGTTGTTGATAGATTTTGAATAAGTATTATACACAACGCCCAATGAATACATTATAATTTTATCATTATGATATTTTTTAAATAAAGGGTTTATGAAAATAAATGACAAACAAATAATAACTTAATTCCAATCATAAGTCTGGTTCAATTAAAACTTTCAAAGTCAATCATCAATACGGGGTAAGGAAGCGAGAGAATGAAGCAATTATAATACTAACTGAAGAAGCGTAGCTACAAAGCATTAACATAATTTTATTATTTTGTGTTCTTTCTTGTTAACGTGCCAATTTGCAACATCGTAGCGGCTTCTTATAATTTTTAAACTGAGGCATAAGCCTCACTTAGGAAATCAGCAATTTTGTGCTTTTCCGAAAGAGGATATTGAAAAGGTGAAACCTTCTTTGGGCGACGCAGTTGAACGCAGAGCGCGGTCGGTGCCGGGCGTGCCTCGCTGAAACTTGACAATGTTATCACTACACTTCAATTATATTAGCTACGTAACGGGTAGTAAAACTGTAATGATATTAAATAATGATTTTGTATTTGGTAAAAGGTAAAAAAAAGCATTAGGCGTGTGCTATTAGTAAATATTATTATTTATAGTTATCAAAAAACGATGCGTTTGTTTCGCAAAAAGTGGAAGTTCTCGCGTGAATTTGATAGTAAAATAATACATATGAGGTGCGAAAAATTGTAAATAATGCCGTGTTGTGGTTGCTGGTGGAATGGCAGACAGCGACATCGACCGCCAGAAACCGCCGCAGGTTATTTAAAAAAAAATACAATTCCTTTTTTTTTGTTATAATAATACACTATTTACATGTGTATACTGTAAGATTTACTACATTTTATAGTAATATTCTTAACTATTTTTCATATTTCACTTAAAAATAATGCATAATAATAATAATCTTTATATATATAATTCTTCTGTGAGTGTGTATGTCACTGAACTTCTCTCAAACGACTGGACCGATTTTGATGAAATTTTTTGTGTGTGTTCAAGGGGATCTGGGAATGGTTTAGATTCACAATTGTACACGGTAGGTGGCGCTGCTGTCGGTGTGACAAAGGGTTTGTTTTTTTTAGTAGTTTGATCGCGGGCGAAGCCGCGGGTACAGCTAGTTATATATATATTTTAACACTCATTTTCATAGAACATTCAACGAAATAGCCGATAGATTACATATGGCTATTACTTTCACAGATTTATTACAAAAGTTTCGCTTTATTTGACGCTTCTTTCAATAAAGTTTTGCAAAACTCATAACAAAGTGTATTATTCTGTTTGGTATAACACAGATATCGTTTAAATATTTGTGTTGTAAAAATATACGAGTATGTACAAAACGATCCAGAGACCAGTTATATATATGCAGCATCAATGAAAGACAACTGGGCAGTATTTAAATATTGCAATACCTATTAGATTTATACCTAATAGATTTCGCTGATTAAAAAGTAAAATGTTATTAATTTAAATAATAAATATTGTAAATCAATATAGCGAAAATATCCTTCAGCATTATAATATACAAATGCATATTATTCGACTTCTATGTTCTGATTGTTGTTGATATATCATGTACTACTTAGAGCTTTTTAACGTTACTAGAAAAATAAAAAAGTTGAATATGAAATATTTCTATATATAATGGCATTTATTGCGTGGACAGAGTGATAAGGCTCAAAACAGAACTCTAAATGCTGTTTTCGTTCGGGAAAAAGGTACCTACCTAATTTTACTTAAGGCATTTCCCGCTTTATAATTTTACCGATATCATATTCGCAGAAAGCTTCCTGGTGTCTATCCTCTATTTGTATAGCATATCAGCAAATGAATATTAAATATGAACAAAAGAACAGTATCAATGTAATCAAATAGGCAAAATTTTTCAATGGTCAACCTTACGGTAGTATAAAACTACCTATTGTTGTTATTGACAAGCAAAAATATGTATTAAACGAGTATAAGTCAAAGAAATATATTTTAATTCATAAAATTTTCTTAGCTTAATCGCCATATTGTTGATCTAATATTATGTAAAAAAATTCAAAATTTTCTTCTGATAAAACCAAAAAAATAGGCTTCTTTGCTTCATACTCTTTAAGTATATTATACTTAAGTTATGAGGACTTTTGCCTTGTACATTTAACCATTTATAGAAAAAAAATTAAAACCTTTTCGTAATATAACATTTATTTTCGATATTATTTTCAAAAATATTGAAGGTAAAAATTGGTGAAAAACAACAACAAATCTATATTTACGGGATAAAAAGTAACCTATGTTCTATTCTTTCGCAGTAAAATTTATAGTTATATAATATAATGGGATAAATAGATTGCAAAATTTATTTAATACTGGCGACTCACCCTCCCTTCGCCCGTGTTCGTCTCTAGGTACGTTTTAATTTTTTTGAACGGAACCCTAATTCTTTTTCTAAGATAAAAGTAGCCTAAGTTACTCCCTATAACATCAGCTATCTTCCAGTGAAAATCCCGTCAAAATCAGTCCAGCCGTTTCAGAGATTACCCGGAATAAACAGACACATAGACATACAGACAGGCAGACATTTTTTTAAAAAAATGTGTTTTTCTTATAAGTACCGTATATAATTTCATATGCATTTAGTCAAACGCTGTTATTTTGACATTACAAACAGACACTGCAATTTTATTTATCTGTACAGACTAATATCCTATGGGAAGCAATCGATGTCTGGCGAGAAATAAATAGTATGTAGAAGTTGACCCTACAGCGCTCATACTTTTGTACTACGAGTATATCTATGCAAAAATCTCGTTGATCTGGTTTTCTGTTACTGCGTGAAGGAAGGACAAACAAACATACCAACTATACATTATAGATTCATATAAAAGATTAATGATGATGATGATGATGATGATGTTCTCCTAGCCGATTCCGGCCACGGCGGCCAATCTCAATGAGATTAGCCAACTGCGCAGGAGATATTATAGTGCTTAAGTGTACGCGCAGACACAAGTGCACTCTCTATTCCTATCACTCTCATACTCCGGTGGGACGACCACTCGACACGACCGGTGAGAGTTAAGGCGCAGGACCGACGGCTTTACGTGCTCTCCGAGGCACGGGGGTGAAACACCGCCAACTTCCCAACTCCGGGCTGTTACTGAGACTTACTATACAGGAAGACTCAATAACTAAACTTGGTCCGACCCGGGACTCGAACCCAGGACCTCCGGGTGTGCAGCCGTACATGCTAGCCACTACACCACCGAGGCAGTTGTCAAAAGATTAATAAACAATTTATTTCCTGTACAGTCAACTAGGTACATATATATAATAAGTACACACTGACTTACCGTGCCCATAATGTAGCGCTTAAAACATAAATCATTTGTAAAGTCCATTATCATTGGTTTTACACATGACAAGTTAAATTGTGAATTGCATATTGGAATAAAGGTAGAGCATTCAATTCATATCACTTTAAAAGCCGTGGACTTTTTGTTCTTTTTCAGATATTTACCAAATTCTTCTACTGAAATTAGAAAGAAAGTAGATTACTAAGGAAAATATTTAGTTGATTGAGCATTAGAGCATTAGTTTGTATCTATGTATGTTTTGCATTGCACATACTGCCTCAGCGGTGTAGTGGCTAGCATGTACTGATGCACATCTGAAGGTCCCAAGTTAGAGTTCCGGGTCGGGATTTATTGAGTTTTCGAAGTTTAGTTGTTGAGCTTTCGGTTAAGAACGTCCCGGTAACATTCGGAATTGGGAAGTCGGCGATGTTTCACCCCCGTATTTCATAGAGCACGGAAAGCCATTGGTCCTGCGCCCGATATATGCGCCTAATAAAGAGTGCACTGGAATCTGTGCTTACACTTGTGGATTATAATATCTCTTGCGTAGTTGGTTAGTCTCAGTGAGATTGGCCGCCGTGGCCGAAATCCGTCTAGAGGACTTCATGTACATATATATTAGTGTGAGTGTTCAGTAACTCGCAAGAAGTTGAAGATGACAGACAGTGCTTTATTTACACTAAGGGCACTAGGGGCTAGTGCCCAGGGCGGCAAATTTTAAGTGGCGGCAAAAAACTCTTTTTATTTTCCAAAAAATGAATAATTAAAAAAAATTACTAGTACCTTTTTCGAAAAATGAAATCATTAATTAATTATGTTTTTGCATTTTCCAAAAAAATTATTAAAATGAAAAAAAAAATATTTATCAAAACCTTACCCATTTTATGCAAAATTTCGATAATTGGGCGGCATTTTTTACTATGCCTAGGGGCGGCGGTAAGGTTGAATCCGGCACTGATGACAGAGACACAAACTATAATGGCTCCTTTTTCACTATAATAATACTTAAAAATAATATTAATATGTGACACTTAATAAATTTAAATTTTTGAAAATCAAAACCCAGTATTAAACTGGCGTAACACATTTTTGTATTGTTGAAAGTGAAAGGGTTTTATTTAACAGGAAAGTGTTTACCTTTTAACTTGTTATACTTTATACTGTTTGTTTTGTAAAATGAAATTTGTATGAGCCCTA